TATGCTTTAAATTCTTCTCTCTGTTTTGTTAAGAGCGATCAGTTTGAAATCTTGTCATTTTTAATAGATACTGGAACCTAACATGTACATGTAGTAAAATTCTATTTTGTAGTTACTGTCTTTTTTAACAAATATCCATGCCGATTTATGTAAATGTGTGATATATTTCTGTTTAATAAAAAGCTTAAAATTCATCTAAAGTTCCTAAAAATTCATCGTTTTGTTTCAGTTTATTCCAAAAAAGGCTCACATTGTGTTATATGTCACAATCACCACTATAAAGACTGCCTCAGAATATGAGTAGGTAACCTTTCAACTGTGCTAATATGTAAATAAGAATAAGAAAATATTTTTAAAAAAAGCAATTATTGACACAAAAACCATATCAATGAAGCGTTTTAAGGCAGTAATATAAGAAATCATAATGTAACAAACGTTATTGTCATCAACTACATGGTTATTTAACGTTCATTTCAATATTCCACCTCAATATTTTTTTTGCTGTTTCGCTGAAATTTTTCCTAGTTACTTCTAACTGTGTGCAAGGTTACAGACAAAAAAATATAAGATAATGTATTTTGCTATAAAAAATGTATTTGGCCACCTAACATAAATCTATTCCGAATATATCCATTGACAGTCTGTACAATTTCATTTAGTATGTTGCAACATCCAAAACACAAACATACGTTTTTCAGGATGCAATGTTCAAACAAAACTGTATTCAGTATGTACGGGGTGGGGTTTATTTGTTTTCTTTCTATTTCTTTTCTTTTTTGTTTTGTTTTGTTTTTTTTTTTTTACCAATTATAAGCCTATGCATACCTTGTTTTAAATTATCAACAACAATTCAATTAATATTGTGAAAAGTAAACAAACTGCAAAAAGGTTGCAATAATTTAAGACACTTTAGTGTGGTAACAGTTTAAAACATTTACGAAATTGAGGTGCATTTAGATGTAAAAGACGAAATTTTGTTTTCATTGACTAAATTAAAAAAATGTCAGAAAATACATAAAATGTGAAAATTGATATAAAAATCAATTCTCTCCCACAAGCATACGTTAGACGCGCAATATATTGATACTATTTGAACCTGCATATCATAAGAAATGCATCATACAGTTTTGTTATATACAGGAAAAATATTACATAATAATTGACCTTAATATATTTTTTTCCTCAGACTGATTTTGGGATGTCCAACCTTTGAAACTTTCCTTTGTGTTCACATTCGAGTGTGTGAAAGTATTAGAAAACATGAAAATTCTATTTTTGTAATTTCATGTGATTATTAATTTCAAATGATCACTTTTCATGTAAAAAATAATTTTTAATTGTGTTAAGCAAATTTAATGCATGTAATTGTTTTCATATAGTGATTTTTGTTTGTTTGTTTTCATTCCGCATATTTATAAAAGTTGCAGGTTCAATTTCACTATGTAGGAGTAATTAATCTCAAATCACTCAAATAAATAAAGGAGAACAAAACTATCATTACCTTTGTGTTTGCTTGTAATATGGTTGAAATAGAATTAAGGCTTGCACAATAAAAATTATTTATTATCACAAAGAAAATGTATTTATTGTTATGAAAAGAAATATGTACAAGGTTTAACTTATCAGAAAATTTTTACTTGAGAATCAAAACTATATATTACACAGAGATCTTTTTGCCTCGGCGACAGTAACGTACATTTCAAATAGGCTGAATTTGGAGCCACCCTTTCACGTTATATGACTATTTATAATGTTGATTTAAAAGTTACATCAGTTGTATTTCTTTTAAATGAAAATGAGGCACATCATTTGAGCCCTTATATTGAGAATGGGTGTTTTGCTAAATTTAGGTCAATCGAAAACTATTTTGTTGTGTGGAAACAGACGACAAAACTGCATGTAATAAAGTTTTTTTACACGTATCCAAGTTTGAAATAGCAAATATTTTCAGTAAAGCCTTTTATGTTGTGTGACGTCATAGTAATATTTTCCGAACATGGATATGTGCGAATTAACAAACTAAGGATATAACAAAGTATTTTCTGTGGGATTTTTCTGCACTAGAGGATAATGATGATAAAAAGTATTTACTCATCGCCATTGACGTGTTTTCGATTTTAATGTTAACGAATTTAAGTAGTTATATGGATAATATCGCAAAAGACGAAAGTTTTACATAAAAACAGAATGTGAAAATTGATATCATACGATGTTTTGTTGCAGGGAAAACACGACTGTCATGTGATCTTCTCACCCATTCAGATACTATTTTTGTGGTGATTATTAATGTGAGGTATAATAACAAATTTTAAGCATGTAATTGTTTTCATATAGTGATTTTATTTTTGTTTGTTTGTTTGCTTCAGGTCACTTCACAATCTCTCACTCAAATTGAGACGCCATTACCTTAAAGGGCTTTATGTGTTCGTTGTATCTTATAAAAAAATATAATTGACAACCAATTTAAATTTGTCTTACTTGACATAATTTACACGTCAAAGTTTAGTACATAAAGCTCTATCAACATGGATCATTAACGGATATAACAAATATGAACTAAATTTAACAGTTTCTTATATGGATATGACGATTACGTTTTTTTCATAGAGGTAGTCTTATTTTCTGTTTGTATCTTTTAATCAAGATATATACTTTTTTCTGTTTGTACTGCTGTTCTTCAGCCCAGGAGAAGATGCTTTCTATTTCGATGACGCCTGATCCCACCTATGATGTTGAATGTTTGTCTTTGCTCTGCTCCTATTTTGTATCTTTTGTATTGTTTTATGGACTTTTGAGCTAGAATACTTTTCGTTATCTCCATATATTTCATTCAATACTTTCATCAACCATGACGCCCTATGCTAAAATTTGACTTCAGGAAAATGACTTAAATTCAAAATTTCCAAGATTTAGTATTACCCTGTGATACATCTAGCAACAATCTACATGTATGTTCTGCTGGCAACAGTGATACCATATCAGATCTATCCCCATACCGATCATGTCTATTGATGTTAATGTTATGGAAATGTTCATTACATCGTTCATTACGTCAAGTACTCCTGCGTCTGTCCACAGAGTTCACAGGGAACCTCGACTCATCTGAGAACATTACGTGGTTCCATTGGCGATCATCCTAGCATTGATAGTGACGATACCACTGGAGTCGGGCCCTAATGTGATGATCCTTTAGAATTACAATTGCACGGATTACTGTGTTCGACTTCTGTAAAAATGGCGCATTCATCAGTTCCAGCATCTGCTCAATTTTTACTTTACGCATTTCTTTCTTTGTTATTTGGATTACATCTAAAGATTTATTTCCATCTGACGATTGAGAAATTCAGGAAGAAACAAAAGGTACCCAGAATGCTCCTTACCATTGTGATTTAAATTTCCTTGAAACACTAGGGAATTGAATTGTCCCGCCTTGTCTAAAAACTATTCGAAATTGTATAGAAAAATTTTTAAGTTGATAATTTTTTATGATATAGTTTTTTTTTCATGCTTCGCCGGAGGCCTTTCTTGATTGAGAAATTTTCCGTCCCTTTTGTCATCGGATTTAATACTTTCAAGAGTGAGGAGATTATATGGGAGAAATTCGAATCTGATCGGAATGATTTTTTCTTTAAGTTTTTGTATCAACACCTTATATGCTGCTACAATGTCATAAATTTTATGAATTCGATTTATATCACATTCGGAACCGATTGGAAATTTAAATTAGGGACATTGATCATTTACTTATTCGTTTTGATGCCTGTAAGAAGACTTTGGTACTATGACGTCGCCATACTTAAAACAGTCAATTATTTTATCGTGATATTGTGTGTCGAGATCTATTCAGTATTTCTCCTTAAAAAGCACCTCGGCATTCATAAAATTTGCGATTCATTTTTAGATGCGTTTTTCCCTCAACAAAATAATTTATATAGTCAATCCTTTTTTGATGCAAACAAACATTTAATAAGGCTTTATCATAATCAGTACTGTGGCGACGTCATAGTACCAAAGTCTTCTTACAGGCATCAAAACAAATAAAAGTAATTACGATTGTTTAATTATATATAAGTGTGCCAAATTTCATTCTGATCTTAATCGTGGTTTTGTAAATATAGAGATATTTCGCGAACTATTTGATCTCTCCTCGTATTAAAGCTCAAAACTCCACAAAAAAAAAAAAAAAAAAACTAAATCGGAGAAGAGCGAAAACGGACCTCTAAACATCAAAAATTGGGAACAGGTATCATTAGGGAGTGAGCATCATCTGCCGATCGGCCACATCCGCCCTTGTGCTCCTTGTCATGATCGGGAAATAACAGAAAACTTTGTCGTCAATTATGTTTGTAAATAATTAGTATTAAAAGGACAGTAATCATTTGACTTGATGATAAGTTGTATATGTTCACAAGGTTAATTTATGTAGCATAGAACTTGCAAATGGTGATTTTGAATAAACTTTTCTAAGCTAATGAAATATTTGAATTTGACATGGTGTAAAAAATCGGCAACCTAACTCAAACTAATGAAGAATCGTTTTTTTCAAAATATCAAAATTTTCAATTACAAAGTGGAGATAAAATATCATAATGCTATTTGGACCCAGACTGTAATTCAATTTGTTAAAGGGTCATTTCTTATATACAATGCTTGCCCTTTGACATGAAAAATGACACATTGCTAGAAAAAAAAATGACATTGAGAATGTTGGAAAGTAAAAACGTAAGCACGCAGAATTAAGCAGTTAGTATTCACACATCTTATTTCAAAAACCGTATGAGTACTGCTCGATATAATTTGTATGCACATTTTCTTAAGACAAATGACTTCCTATAAAGTTAATCAATGGCTGGATTGATGTGAAGGAAGGTAGAGGGTTAGAAAAGGTACTTGTTATGTTGTCATGTTAAAGCAAATTTGACAAGAGATGTCTTTTTATATAAGCAATGTAATGTACACATATGAGCTAGCAAAATGAAAAAAAATCTGTATTTTCTAATCTAGTCATGTTGATCGTGTGTGAAATAGTCTTTTCTCTTTATGTATCTGTAGACATCCACTCTGCTGTTATGATCCTTTGTTCCAACTAAAAGAAGGTGATTTCTGTGGTCATAATCCAGACCTCCTGATACATTGATTTTGTTTTGATTGGTGAACAACAGTGATAAAAAGTGACCGTCTTTGTCAATCATTTGAATTGTTTTACTTTTAATATCACACACCAGGATGTTCGAAAGTGCATCTACACACACTCCTCGTGGTGATAGTCGTGGTCCTGAAGAAGGTCCTGTGTAGAAGAAGCGATGTTTCCCTTCACGATCTGTTACTACTATACCATGGTTCAAGTCAGAAACAATAACATCTCCATTGTGGTTCTCTGTGATGTATTTAGGAAATATATACAGTTTCTGACGAGTGTTACAGTTTTCAATGAACTGAATTTGTTGTTTTGCACTGTTATATCGCATAACTTTGGCCTCTATAAACATTTTATTTTGATCAAAATAGTAGACATTCATCCCGACCAAAAGATCTCCATTAGTGGGAGAACAGTACACACACTTTGCTTTCCACGGTTCTGTTATCTTTATGAGTGTAATTATGTTGTCTGTTGACAATTGGTTGACGTTATTAAATCTGTCTATGTAAATCAGATTCCCTTCAGGAGTCATGGAGTGTCCTCCAGTATAACTATTTGTATCTTTAAAAATATGTAGATGTTCACCATTTGCGTTTGTCAAGATAATACGTCCATATTGATCATTGATCCATACCATGTCTGTTGTCACACAGGAAATGTGGCGAATCTCAGTATCACCCATCACTGTGAAAGACCTCCGTAACACAGGTACACACATTGGTTCAAGAAGCTGTTCATTTCTGACATGACGATTTTTTGACTCTGTGATTTGGATTTCTCCTAGTAACTTAATCACATCCATTCGGTTGATTTTACAGTTCAAGGAGAATGGAAATGTGTCAAGCATGCTCGTTAATCTTGGGAAAGGGGTTTTCTTTAGAAACATAAGGAAATGTATAGGCTTGTCTAACACTGTTTCTAACTTATATATAAATATTTCTGTGTTCGTAATTTTTCTTTTTGGTTCTTTCAATTTAGATGTAAGTGACCGTTTTAATTGTTTTAATTCATTGATATCATTTATTACTACACCAGCCAGATTCTTCAGTTTCATTGTTCTTGTTGTCATGCTTTGCTGGAGACCAGATAACAAGGATTGACAAATGTCCTTGCTGATTTTTACATCGCATTTAATTTGTTGAAGAAGAGCAAGATTATTGAAGATAATATCAGTTCTTATGTGAGCTATCCTGTCTATGTGTTGGTGTCTGCACATTTTATAAGCTGAGACAATATCCAAATTGTCATGGTTTCGGTGCTCATAACACTCATCACAGATTGGAAGATTACATGAGAAACACCATTTGTTTACATATTTGTTTTGGTGCTTCTCACAAGAATTTGGTATCCTGAAGTCCCCATATTTTAAACGGTCAATCACTACCTCGTGGTATTTGGAATCAAGGTCTATCATATGTTTCTCCTTACAAAGAACACAGAGATCTTCTTTACATGTTTTACAATAGAATTCTACGTCCCCCTTACACTGAGAACAATTTGGAACTTTTAACTCTCTGTGGACATCTGAATCCATTGATAACCGATTGTGTGTAAACAGCTGCATGCATGATTAACACTTACATACGCTCCTGGTTTATTTTACTTTCCATTTTCCTTTTCTAATTGAAATTGTCTGGCGCTACAATCTTGAAAAAAACATAAAAATCTGAATTAATTTTTGTTCATGTTTTCACCTTTACTTTAGTGAAGTCCTGTTTTTGGTTTTAGTTGACTATTCCTATTTTTAGTCTTTCTTTGCAATTCTGAGATTCCTGTACCACGTCTTTGTATATATTTTCTACCTAATATAAAAATAAATTTGATCTTTTATGCTTCAAAGCAAAATACGCCCTTCGTCTTTTATCCACCCTTTTTGTAACCCTTACGTCGTAATTCAACGATTTTTTTTATCGTCTTTTATAAGTGTATCAGTAATTATTACTTAATTAACAATTTGATGAAATAGTATTCACATCTTTAAGCCACCATTAAGATACCTTTATGCACCAATTGAATTCGCATAAGTTAAAAATTTATCGGACCATTACGTAACATTTAAAAAAATGATTTGTTTATTTTAATCCGTTTTGCTGAAGCAACTTGTATGATTGACATTGTTTTTTTAAACGCTTTATAAACATGAAGCCTTGTTCTTTTTCATGATAATTATTATCTGACGAAATAACATTAAGATCAACATTAATAAAGATAAGTTAGCATCAATACCTCTTTAGTCGACATGAATACATGTAGCTGGTAAATCGATATAAAAATCTGACAAATCAATATAAACACCAGACAAGAAGCGGTAAAAATATGCAGTCAACGTCGTCCTGTAAAAAGTATTATGGCCTGCTTACCTGTATAACAAGTTAGGACAATATTCAGATTTCAAATAAAATCTAAATAGTTCCATTTGATGAATAGGAAATGGGTTCTACCACACCCATCTTTTTTGTAAATAAAGGTAAGGTATTCCTAAACGGTCATTCTAATATTATGTTTTAAAGACGATTTTCCACACAATACATTGAGTAATGAGCGGTTCCCGATAAGAAAAACAGCGGTCGATCGAATCACTACGGTGGAATGTTCAGCTGTGACTATCTTTTATGGCAGACTTTCGATCTAATATACAGAGCCCTTTAAACTAAAAAAAAAATGAAGTCTGAAATGTGCTTGAAGGAGCTAGAATAGGAAAGATCTACATCTTACACAAGTACCAACATATTTACATAACTTAAGTATGCATGTAAAAAATAAAGGATTATGTGACATAACTGCTATCTGGGACCCCTTTTTCCACGGCGAATTATATTAAATCTACAACGAGAGTAAAATTTCCTTTTTTGTCAATTTCTTTAATCTTTCATCCTTTAAAATTTGCTATCATTATTCAAAGTAAACGTTGATGTGAAAAAATTTCATAGGCTTCCTTAGTCATAAAAATATTATTACTTTAATGAAGGGAAATGTAAACTGCGTTTGTCTGTTATCAAACTACAACCCTCAATGTCCGCAGAAATAAAAGTTTTTGAGACGTCCTTTGTTGGGTGTGTCGGATTGGAAGATGGGGACATTTTAGTTCGAGGCGGGGGCAAAGTGAGTTACGGTATAAATTTCATCGCAAAAGACGAAAGTTTAAAGTTAATAACATAATGTGAGAATTGATATCCGAAGGGGTGGTGAGGACGTTCTGTTGAAGGGAAAACACGACTGTCACATGATCTTCTCACCCAATCAGATTCTATCTTTGTAGTGTTTATTCATATGAGGTATATAATAAAATTTATGCATGTTATTTTTGTCATAAAATGATGTTTGTTTTGCTCTAGACCTCTTCACAAATTTTCACTCAAATTGAGACGCCATTGCCTGTCGATTTAGGGCTGTAAATTTTGACCTGTATTCGGTCTACGGTCTTTGAGGAGTTTCGGATCATCTCGATGCAGTAACCTACTGGGACACTTGATCTCAATTCATACGATCCCATCCAAAGGACAGATTTCGAATCCCTGCACTAGAATCGAGTTTTGTCATAATTTACACGTAAAAGAGAGGTAGAGCAAAGCTCGTTCAGTACCTACACGGATATTGCGAATTCACGGATATAGCACAGTTATCTTGGATCCCCAGCTATTTTTATTTATCTAATTTCTGATATGGAAAGTACAATTTATGGATATAGGGAAGTTATTTCATGTGTCCCAGTGACATCGTTATAACCGGGTTTTACTGTATATATTTCAAAAAAAATATATATAAAGCAATTAAAACCTGTTTGTCTTACTTTATTTGTCAATCATAAACTATCAGATCATGACCAAACATAAACTTATCACTAAAATCTTTTCTCTTTATGACTATATTTAGATATTTACTCTGCTGTTCTTCCTCCCAAGAGAGGATGATTTCTATTTTCATGACACCTGATCCTCTGATGTTGGATGTTCGTATTTGCTCTGCTCCTATTTTGTACATTTTGCATTGTTTTATGGACTTCTGAGCTAGAATACTTTTCGTTATCTCCACATATTTCATTCTATATTTTCATCAACCATGACGCTACATGTGAAATTTGACGTCATGAAAATGACGTAAGACCAAAATTTTCAGGATTTAGTTTTGCATTGAGACACGTCCTCAATACTCTAGTCCATCAATATTCTACATGTATGTTCTGCTGCAGATTATATGGGGTCAAGACACTTCGAATTAAGGTCAGACGACTCGTTCCTCAAATTTATGTTTTGTATCTCTTTGTATATTATATCAAAAACATTTAAAATTGTCATTCTATTCTGATTTCTGTATGATAATCGTTTTCAAAATGTTTTTAAATATAAGTACACCAAAAATTGTGATGTAAGTCATTCAGAAGATTACCAATAAGCGTTATATAAGAGTTATATAAGAAATATGACCTGTGGTATCTTGTCCTGGTAAGGTACCCTAATTGTTTTTGTTTGGAAACTTGTTTAAGTATCTACACTTCAATGACAAATTCTTAGGAAAAGTTAATTATTTTTGGGGAATGTCGCCTGACCTTAAACAAGAATCTCATTTCTCACCTGTAGGTCTCGTAAAAGAAGGAATTTCTACAAAGAAGATTACGCAGATTAAAGACAATTTTTCTTGAAAAATGGTTCTAATGCAATGTCGATTTATGGATTGATTGAATGTTGTTTAATATCCTCTCGATAATTCGTCTGATCTGGTATACTGTACATAGATTTATACTGCAATATGGCACTTTTAGGGGTTTTGGATATTCAAAAATTTTATAATAAATTCCTAGACAAACCTATATGGTCAAATATAATTATGTGGCGCTTTCCCAACAAATTTCAGCAGGGTCTTACAGTAAAATTTGACAGGTTTTTGAGCTGTCCCCCTTAGAAATCGGAAATCGGAATTGTAAACATTCAATTTTTTAATCTGAAATCAATAAATATTAGGGATGGCAAATTGTAACCGGTTAACCGATTACTTGGTTGGAACGTTGGCAATCGGTTAGAAAATCTGTAATTGGTTAGTGGGGAAAAAAATAAAATTTACATAAATTTGAACCTAATTTTGTTAGAAATTCATTTTAAGAAGATAAATCTTTGCATAAATGTTGATAATTTAGCATCTTCAAATATCGAAGCTGACCTGGGTGTAATTATGGTTCTTCGGATGGAGATCGTAATGTAATTGGTCATTTTGTGTTTAAAGTGTTAATTACTGTTAAAACACCAAGTCGTTACCCTGACTGTCTTGTATTTCTTTAATGATAATAAAATCACCATTAAGAACTGAGAATGAGTATATGTTTTGCATTTTTGCAGTTATTCTATCGAATAAATTACTAATCAAACTTTGTAAATGAAGTTTCATTTCAGACTTACTTTTAGTTACGGTGATAAATATAACACAGAATGAACGTATGTGAAATCAGCATACACTGGAAAAATATCAAATGAATTATTTCTCAGACATGATTCGTGGTTTTCTTATTTTTTTTCACAGAAACTAAAATGAAACATATAAGCTGTTTTTTTAAAGCAAGAATCAAGACAAATAACATCTAGACTTTATCAGTCTTCTTGTATCTATGAATATATAGATCTACATTGGAAAGAAGAGTTATATACATCAAATAATGCATCTTTTGATACGATTAACCGGTTAATCGGTCGGAAAGTCTTGCGATTAATCGGTTAGCAATTCTGTATTCGATTGCCATACCTAATAAATATAATTAGTAACTAGAGCCGAGCTCGTTGCAAAGCAACGAATAGGTCTTCCGTTGGAGCTACAGATAGGAAGACGTAACCTTGAGTCTAGGTCAAGCCACATTCTAAAGTTATACAAGTAAGCAATCAAAAGGCTTGTAAAGAAAGCAAATTACAATGTTTCGCCAGGAAAAAGACTGTAAAGGAATTTATGTGACCTTGAACTTTCTAAATGACCTTGCGTCAAGCAATGACAAACTCTGTTATAAAAATTTGATATGTGTATTATCGACTGGAAAAGTTCACACGTTTTTTAGATATTCTTTTAGTATATGAATCCAGCCAAAGCATCTTATCTTTATTGACCTTGAACTTGAGTCAAGGTCATGTCCCACCCTGCATTATACATGTATCAGCAATGTTTCACAGGTACAAATACTGTAGCGAATTTACAGTTTCTCTGTCAGTAACCTTGACTCGTCCGAATGACTGGACATGTTCAGCCTTATTTTTTCTGAGCATGTATCGAATCGGAAGAATTTATTAGGTTCAACACTATGATTTTCCTAATGATTTAACTAGAAATATATCTATAGCTAGGACATGAATGCCGCGCCAAGTGTATATTAGTAAATAATGCAACATTAAAATCTGTATTAGTATATGACGTTTGTTGAGAATATCTTGAATAGTTTCTTAAAAATTGAAATCTTAAAAGATGGATATAGATTATAAAATCCCCTACAAATAATGCATAAGCTTACATAAAAATATCTCAAATGGTTTCTTTAATACTAAGCAAAATGCAAATTAAAGA